ATATATTTAAAAAATACTACAGCGATGTTGAATTCTTGATTCTGCTTAGTCGGGAGGTGTTGATAAATTTTCTTGAATTCTCGATTCTGATTATTCAGGAGGTGTTTTCTACAACAGCATGGCTGTGACAGTAATTCCAGCTGTAAAGATTTATATTGTTGCTATAGTAACAGCTAATTCACAGGGACTTGTATGGCAGACACTCCACATAATCTAAGCCTTATAATAAAAAGCGTGTTGTTATTTAACAAAGAAAACGTACAGTTGCTGATATGGTGAAGTTTTCTGTAAGGAAACGTTTATTTAATATTTATGGAAAGAGGCTCAGGTGTGACTGCTTCCTAACAGTGGCACCAACATTCAGTAAGTTTTTCACTACAGGAAAGTCTTCAGGACAGACGACATTTGGGTTACTCTGTAACATGACAAGCTGGATGTCTTTTTTTTCCAATCATCTTAACTTCAAGGTTTCGATGTTGGTGATGGAACAAACAAGCTGGTTTGAGTTTATAGCTATTAATGTAACTAATGTTAGTGATAACAGGAACTAAATCTCAAAATTGTTCCACAACACTTAATGTAATTAGGAAAATAATCCCGTTGTTGATTATTGTCCTAAAACGGCACATCCCGAAGTGTTCTATTCTCTACTTATTTAACCAGATACTGTGATGACATATAAACATGCATTATAAAGCATTATGCATACAAACATAACTAGGGTAATACTACGCATTGTAAGATGCTGTGCATGCTATATCGCATGCTGTAAATGCATTTATAAAGCATTATGAATGCAGGATTCATAAGAAATGTTAATCGAATTTCTGGACCAGTCAGATTGGATTGTGAGTGTGTTTAGACATTCTGATGTGGGGAATTTGTCACAAGAACAACAAAGAGGAAAACAGGCATGAAAGTACATCAAGGTAGAACCTTACTGAAGGAACAGACATGGTATAAGCGAGCCTCTTCAGTTTTTGTCAGTTTTGTCTGCACCCTGTCTAGTGTCCTAAGCTACCGAGCATACACACACCAGCTTTGTTACAATAACTACCAGTGTAGTCATGTGAGTAAATGTAACACTGTCTGAATGAACATATCTGATTTGTTCTTTACATTTTTTTAACTCTTCAGTGTATTGTGTGCATTTTGACAATGTACTTCTTTAAATTTTATTATACAATAACCTCAAAGGCCACTACTTCAAAAGGCAATGGAGATAATTAAACTGTCCATCTGGAAACCACTTAGCATACAAAATATACACCACTTTAATAGTACCACCTGTACACTTGCTCATTCATGTGACTATCCAATCAGCTAATCACTTGGCAGCAGCGCAATGCAGGACATCATGCAGATAAAGGTAATAGCTTCAGGTACTTTTCACATCAAAACATCAGAATGGGGACAGAACCTCTCTTTTGCTGTTGTAGCTCATCTGACTCAAAGTTTGATGCATTTTGTGTTTTGAGGAGTTTTTCTGTTAGCCACGGTTGTAAAGAGTGGTTATTTGAGTTATAATAGCCTTCCTGTCAGCTCAAAACAGTCTGGCCATTCTCCTCTGACCGCTCTCATCAACAACAAGTTTCCGCCCGCAAGACTACTGCTCACTGGATGTTTATTGTTTTTCACGCCATTATGAATCCCCAGGAGATCAGCAGTTTCTGAAATACTCAAATCAACCCCTCTAGCACCAACAACAATGCCCCGGTCAAAGTCACTAAGTAACAAAGTCAAAGATCACATTTTTCCATATTTTGATGTTTGATGTGAACATTACCTAAAGCTTTTGACCAGTATCTGCATGATTTTCTGCATTGGACTGCTGCCACATGAATGGCAGACTGGAGAATTCTATGAATGTTCCTAATAAAGTGGGCGGTGAGTGTATATCTTTTGACAACCACTTTATAACACATTGCTGTTAATTTGTTTAATATGAATGAACCAAGTGTCTCCCACTGACCTGGTCATCAAAAGTCTCCCTCTTGTCCAGCATTTCGCGGAGCGTCTGCAGAATCTTAATACACAACTTCTCTTCCTTATCCATCAGCTTCTTTGTGTGCTTTATCAGCCTATAAGCATACAGAGCTCAGTTAAGAAAGTTTTACCATTCAAAAGTTTCTTTCCATTTTATGTGGGAAAAGACATGGCATCCAGGACACATGTTTCAGAAAATCTTAAAATATCTCAGATGCATGTATTCTTTATTGACCTTACATGAGAAAGTAACAGGTTAGTCATAGTGGTGCAGCGGGAGGACCGCATGCTGTGGCTTTCAGAATGACTCATGCAGGCTTGAGTGCTTATGCAATAGTACAGACCAATCAGGCTGACACACACACGCAGGTAAGTGCTGTTCGAACACCTAATGCAAGATCGGAAGTCATTCATGGCAGAGCCCAATTCAGCGCCCACTCAAGAAACGAACAACACTTCAGCCTGCCCCGGGTCACACCTCTACTCCTCTCTGAAATAGCATCTTGCCTTTGCCCCATCTGCCACATCTTCATGGTTTTGTTTACCAGATACAAATGTTGACTTCATAGGGATGTACAAATCAGTAGCCCAGATATCTAGAACAAGCAGATTTTGTGTCTAGGCTATTGGTTTATATTCACAGTTGCCTGCTGGGCAAGTAGGTATACTAATCAGAAAAAAAATAAACCTCCTTCCTGTTGACTTTTGGTAAAGCCAGTAGGAAGCAGTGTGCTTAACCCTATTATGAGTCACTGTTACTATAGCACATGCTTCAGAATTCCAGCACCTGCTGCACAACACACGTCGGCAGATGTGCACTATGCCTATCCATAGAATGTTTTTCACAAGGTGGAATAATTAGCATGGATAGATGACAGATGATCATTTCAGAATCAGAAACACATAGGTATGTGGAAACGCTGACAAAATCGAGTTTTATTTATATAAATCTCCTTCTTATTACACAGCGTCTCCTCGTGGTTAAACATGTCGAGAGCAAACAAAGATGCTAGTTAGACTGGAATGTAATCTTTAAGACAGAACATGTGTACACCTGAAACATTTGCCAACAATGTGCTGATTTTTTGACAAGGCTGCAAACAATGGAAGTTTTTTAGAAATTCTGTTAGAAGAGGATAATTATGATGAATTTTTCATTACTTAGTCCATATTAAGGCACTTAATTAGTTAACAAGCTGCTGTATGTTATTATGTTATGTTAGCTACTAATTTTTTTTTTTTAGCCTAGTCAGTTAGATTTCCGGGCAAAACATGGAACTAGACTGCACATTAGAGCTTTCATCTGCTCTGTGGGCTAGCTAATGAATTTATGATTTGTCCACCCCTGCTTAATGTAGACGTACACAGCATTTATTTGATTAAATAGTAAATTGGACTGAAAGAAAGTGTGTGTGTGTGTGTGTGTGTGTGTGTTCGTACTTGGTCATGAAGGCTCCAGTCTCACAGCGCAGTCGTGCTGGCTCGGGGAACAACAGCTCTGGACTATGCAGAATGTCAACCAATACAGAGAACTCGGCCTGCACCAGTGGTTTGAACTGTTCTTTTAGATAGTGCACTACCCCCTAACACACACACACACACACGACACAGACACACAGCAGGTCACAGAACAGGTGGTGCTATCACTTACACAAGTATGAGCTCAGTTTCTGAGATCACAAAATAAGATTCATGATTTTGGACAAGACTGTCCACTTTGTTTTAAATTATTACAAGATGATGTGACACCCAGAAACTTTTAACCCAAAATCTGCTTTAAATACTTGGAGCCAGAGCTTTTATACAGAATGTGACAGAGTGACGCAGGGTACCTGCAGTTTTTCAATGATGTTCTTATAGTCCGGCGTCCCCAGCATTTCTTTGCGAGGTCGAGTACGAGCTGATAGCCTCCAGTCTTTGGCAGCACGCTGTACCATGTTGGTGTGAGTCTTCTGAGACAGAAAGTTCACCTGACCGTCCAGATCTACTGGTAGAGCTATGTTCCGGCTCTTAGCTGTGATGAAAAAAACCCCAAAATAAAATGCTTTTTTTATTCATTCATTCATTCATTCCTCCATTCATCCATCCATCCACCCATCAATAAGAACTCTATCCGGCTCAGGAAAGTGGTGGATTCAGAGCCTATCCCAGGAACATTGAGCTCAAGGCCGGAATACACCCCGGATGGGATGCCAGTCCATCGCGCACACACATTCACATCTAGGGGCGATTTAGAGTATCCAATCCAACTATCGGCATGTTTTCAAGAGGTGGGAGGAAACCCACACAGGAGAACAATGTGAAATAACACAGACAGTAATCCGAGCTCAGGATCAAACCCTGGAGCTGTGAAATGCCAGTGCTACCCACTGCCCTCATAAAATGCTTTATTTAGGAGAAAATTACTTATATTCCATTCTGGTGATGTAATTGCTACCTGGTGACCTCATCTCCTGAGCCAGCATTGCAGAAAAAGTGCATGTGTGACCTAACAAAACCATGTGCACTCAATTTTCTTTCAAAATCTCATCAATGTAAAATTGTTTAAAAAATTAAGGGTTTTGTGGATTACACTTACTTGATATGATATTATTTTTTTAACAAAAAAAGGATTTCTCTTCAAATGGAAAAGGACAAAAAGCAATTAAACTTGAAGGTAATGCTTCACTGAGGTTAGTGAGAATCAAATAGAAGCTTTAGAAAGAAAAAATAAATGTTTTATACAGTATTTAAGCAACAGATTCATGGCTATTGATTTGAATGACTACACAAATGATGTTCTTTGTTGGTCAGGCTGGCTGCTGTTATGTCTACAATTCTTAAACTAAGAAAATATTTAAGAATCATTCAAGTTGATGTTCATCTTTCGGCTGCTCCCGTTAGGGGACGCCACAGCAGATCACTGGTCCGCGTATTTGATTTGGCACAGTTTTTACGCCGGATGCCCTTCCTGACGCAACTCTCCCCAATTTTATCCGGGCTTAGGACCGGCAATGAGGGCGCACTGTTGCACGCAACCCCTGCCCGGGAATCGAACCCAAGCCGCAGCGGTGAGAACCCCGAAGGCTTAACCACTAGCCCTCTAGGGATCCCATTTAAGAATTATTGAAGTAAAGGCATGAATATAGGTAATAAACAAAAGAAGAATGCCTCACATGATGTAAGCAGTGGAATTTCCAGGCTTACACACCAGCAGCCACTTGATATACTAATAGATTAGTATGCTCAATTTGTTTGTAAGACTGCACTGCTCCAAGCTGTGATAACTCACCCACATCAGCGAGGGTCTTGATGCAGGCCTCGATGTTCGTCTTCTGCAGAGCACTGATCCAAGTGCAGGTACAGACTCTGAGGGTGGACTGCAGCAGACGTATGAACGTGCCCTGATGGGTCTGAAACAGAAAAATGAACCATGTGACTGGTGAGAGTGGTTAAAATTGGTGTAGTGTTTGCAGAGCAAGGACACACGTGGTTGACAGGATGACAAAAAGACGATAAGGTGCGAAGTGTAGGAGCATGTTTCTCAAAAAGAGCAGTGTGTGTGCTTTATACCTGCAGATTGGCCGTGCTGACAGAAAACTGAGAACCAAAGAAGCCTTTGACGATGGCTATGATGACTTCAGTGACATATTTCTCCAGCACGGGGTCAGCTCTATTTCTGTCCGTGGTGCCACTGCACACCTGAAAAAAAGTGTGTACACACACCCCACATGATCCAATGTATTACATCTACAAAATGATAGCACAGGTTCCTTTTAAGCCATGCTGGTGTCCTTACTCTGGCCATGTCTACCAGGAAGTTTTCAAACAGGTTCCAGATGTGGTTGCTAGTGTATATTTCCTTCATCTCCACCTCTGTGTCCACGTAGCAGTGGTTCACAAAATTCACGTAGGCAATTTTCACCTGCAGAGGGCGACAAGCAGTGAAGCTGGCTGATTTCAAATAGCCATGTGTGTATTAAGATTGGATTCCAGAACAAATTTCACTATTGAAATCTTTTCTTTGCTAAATTTTTGCTAAATGACCCCTGTCTCTTTATGAAGTAAAACTGCAGCCTGCTTATGGTATGACTTACATTGATATTTTTTAATAAGATGCCTTTTTATTTGTTTTAAATCTTTTAATAAAGTAAATGTCTTCATAGGCCAAAATGAGCTAAAAAGTCCTACCAGAATAACAAAAGTCTCTGTAATGCTGATTTTCTTTGTACTCATGTACGTAGCATATTGTATTTCATTATACTACAATGTACACACCTTAACTCTTCCTGCTTTTTAGGAAGCCATTTCTTTTTTCTTAATTGAATCTCTAGTCTTTTTGTCTCTATTTATGGATTTGTACTAGATTGCTTTCTTTCAAGTCATTAATATGAAATATGAGTTTTACAAAATTTTCATTAAATTCATGTAATTGAAATAAAGAAGCAATTTAAACTTGACAGCATAATCAGTACATACAATTGCAGTAACACACACCACTTAGACTATTTGAAGCCTATAAATTACAGTTCACATTACTGAGTGTGCTTACACAAAAATGTACACAAACTCAGGATCTGTTGTAGAATATGAAATTTTTTCTGAACTGGATTACTGTGAATACCACATTTCTTGTGTAAGCTCCTTCAAACGATTTAAAATAAATCCTTTTGTATCCAGTTCAGTAAAAATTTCACAGTATGGTGTTGTCAAATGGCAGGTTTTATCCAAGAGCACACAACTGCACAAGCCTCAAAAACACAGCCCTGACCTGTCAATAACCCTGTATACACTGACTCGCAGAGGGCTGCGTGTGAGAGAGCTCGCTTACTTCAGGGATGCAGTCCTCATGAGTCACCACCTTGACGATATCATCAAGCGGCAGCAGTGAATTGCATTTGATCTCAGTGTAGACGTTCTTGCCCTCAGTGCAGGCAGCCAGCAGCTCCACCAGGTTGTTGTGGTAGGCCAGAGCACCGTTCTCATCACTGCGCTCCGCCTCTGAGTTCATCAGCTGCAGCAGCGTGGGGAATGACGCCCGGTCATTGTATAACACTAGGACTTCCTCACCTGCGTTCACCAGCTACACACACACACACACACACACACACACACACACACAGGGGTTTTTCATAAGGACCTTCCATTGACATTATGATTACTGTATGTAAGTAATCCTAACCTTAATCTCAGTAACCAGAAGAAAATATTTTAGCTCTCTTAACTATCCAAATAAAATACTTGTAAACACACAGAGCAAAAATTCTGATAGCTATTTAAATTTACAAGCTTCTTATATAGGTCATAAAACAAAAATCTTCCATTGGTACAGTTTTTCATTATTTCTTTGTGACATGACCTGACAAAAAAAAAATTTGCCTAAAATATTTAAGCAAAAAAAACACAGTATTAATTTGAAGTCAGACAATTTGATACCTAATATGAAGAACACAATATAACCATGTCAGTAAGGCGATTAGAATCATTTACTCCCATCCAACAGACCAACCTAATTTCACTCATTTCTTCTTTAAAATCAACATGTGTACAACATGCCTTAACTATACCTTCTTCAAATATTACCAGCAGCAATCAAACCTCTATTAAAAAATAATGATCCCTTAGCCTTATACTAGCATAGGAATAACATTCACGAAATCTTTCTTTCAGGATTTAGGCGTCATCACTGTACAAAGACAGCGCTGGTTAAAGTGGTAAATGACCTAGTCTAGGCCTATGATCAGGGTTGTGTCTCCTTGCTTGTGTTTCTTAATGCAGGTTTTTATACCTTAGACTATAAAATGTTGTTGAAGTTAATGGAAATGTTCTCTTTGGGCTCAGGTCTTAAGTGACTGATCGTTATCAGTTTTTAGATGTAAATGGAGACCTACATCATGTGCACTAGTGAAAAACTTTGGTGTAATTATTGACTCCAGTCTCTCATTTGAAGCTCATGTACAGTCAGGTCCATAAATATTGGGACAGTGACACAGTTTTGGTAATTTTGCCTCTGTACACCACCACAGTGGATTTGAAAGGAAGCAGTCAAGATGTGACTGAAGCGTAGACTTTCAGCTTTAATTCAAGGGGTTTAACAAAAATATTGCATTAACCGTTTAGGAATTACAATCATTTTTTACAGAGTTCCTCCATTTTCACAGGCTCAAAAGTAATGGGACAATTGACTGATAAGCAGTTTCATGGCCAGCTGTGGCCTGTTTCCTCCTTATATCATGATAAATTAAGGAGATAAAGGGTCTGGAGCTGATTCCAAGTGTTGAATTTGCATTTGGTAGCTGTTCATGGGAACTCTCAATATGCCGTCCAA